AATGTAGACTGTTTCTGAGCTAAAGTTAATCAATTTTTATGAACTGGATCAAAAGGGTTCACTAGTTAGTGTTATGTAACCGAGACATGAGGAGAAAATGTTTAGGACATACAGTTGAACTCATGAGGAGCACATTTTTGTACAGCCATGGTAGAAATAAGGAATTGTCTGAGCTGACCTTGTGACTGGCACCATCCCCCATCCCTCTCTCTGAACATTTTTATGTGTTCTTGACTTTCAGGGTCCGAAGTTGATTTCAAGAACTCGTGCTGCTTTGGGAGTCTAAACTCCTTCAGGTAACAACAGTTTCAGACCAGGCTATAGAATGGTGCTAGTTCTCCCAAAATATCAACCCGTAGTGATGAGAACCCTAAGAAATGCCATTAGTTTTCTTCCAAACGAATGTAATATAATAAAGCAGGTTTAGTTTTGAAATACCGAAACAAAGGTTGGGAGACTTCAAAGGCTTCAGAAGATGCCGTCCTCAGGACTTTCTACATTCCTATCAGCAAGACATTTTTTATCTTCTCTGCCTACTCAGTTAATAACATAAGCTATTTTTTATATTTCACAGGGAAGAGAGGCCCAAATGAGTTGATGGTGAGAGCTTTCTGGCCTCCTTGTCTCTGACACTATTTTAACGACATGGTGAAGAACTTCATGTGAGACTTCCCTCCCTAAGAAATAAAGACTTCCTAACTGGTTTTCTTCTCTGAGTCTGCTGATTCCTGAAAACATAATTTCTTTAGAGAGACCTACATGTCATGGCCTAAAACGGGTCCTATTAAAAGTCACAAGTAGTGGCGTCGTAAAAGATGAAAGCCACCCACAATGGATCTATCACACTAGAGGCTGGATGCCTTGGTGATCTGAGAAAGCATTCTCAAGATAACCACGGTTAGATGCTGCCTGGCCCCAGTGCTCCTTATATGACTACTTAGGTGTCCTAGTGAAAAATGAAACAGATCATGAGAAATGAAGTTATTATGCTTTCATAGGCTACATGAAAATCCAACATGTATTTCTTCTTAATCTTGTTTGCTTCTCTATTCACAAGCATTTTAAAACATGTCCACTGTGCTGGAGTTGAGCGCTGGCTGCTGGCAGACACCCCCCCCCCCCCCCCCCCCCCCCC